GTCTTAATCTTTCTTGACTTCTCTGCTCCACAATAGAATGAGGATTTTGTTGTACCCAAGTATAAGAATTGTAACTGTTGAAAATGCCTGGACTGTTCACATTACCTATCCAAATATAATTTAACGGAAAATTACGCACTTGGTTACAACTTTCCAGAAACCACTGGCCACTGAGGCGTTCAAAATCTCCCGGGCTGAGTTGATGAACACTTCTGGTTCTATATGGCTTGAATTTGCGTTTTTTCAAAATCCTTTTAACGTTAGTTAGGAGGATTTTGGATCGGATCGTCACGTGTGATGAAAAGTGTATCCATCTTCTATGCCAACAGGAGAAGTTCGGTACAGTGGTTGGACACCAATACACTTTCCAGAGGCACAAAACTCACCAAAAAAGTACCATGGTAATGGTATGGTGATCAGCTGCTGGTGTGATCCACTATAATTTTCTGCAACTGGGCCAAACCATCACAGCAGTGTCCTATGAGTAAATGGTCAGAATATACTAAAAACTACGTCAGCAGCGACCAGCAATGGTCAACAAAACAGGACCGAACGTTGAAGTTCTGTCTCACTCATCACACTCCCAGATCTCTCCCTAATCGAATTCCATATTTTTAGGCACTTACATAATCTTATCGCCGGTAGAACTTTCTCCAATCAAGACCAGGCAAAAATGGACTTCGTTGACTTTATTTAATCCCGAGCACCCAATTTTCTTGCTGACGGTTTGAATTGACTTGTACTACGTTGGAAAAAGTTCACCGATTCAAATGTTGCTTATTTAGATCGAATTTAATGAGTATTCACTGAGATATTGAAGTTATAAGTTTATTTATTCAAACGGACTAATCTTTTGAAACAACCCAATGTTATGAATGAAGGTAAAATAAATTATCTGTTGAACTGAAGGACATCAATGTGAACACATTATCAAATTTTTCAGTATTACCTAATGTTCAATTGTGTAATTTTTTTTAATGCTGATTGACATGACAATAGAATAAAAATTCAAAACTAAATTGCTTTAATTTTTCCAAATATCAACACAATATGTGTCAAAATCTATCGATTCGAAAAATATAATTTTTTTTTATTCAATGCAACCAAAAAATCTCAGAGACTCACCATTCATTGTATCCACGTAAAGGGACACTGAATACAAATTTTTCAAATATTCCCAAGTAAAAAAACAGGTATGAAGGTAATTGAATCTTTTCCACAATTCAATTTACTTCCCACCTTTTACAGTCTCCAAGATGAATTACCTTGACTGGATCACGAGATAAGAATTCCAAAATATAACCTCGTATTTTCTGATCTCATATATTTCAGCAACAAATTCAAATCGATGAGAACCTTGATTTCTTATTATCCTTCATGAAACATCTCTTTCATCAATCAAACTTCTTTTGAGCAATCTTCAGAATAGAACTCGTAAACATTCAAATTAGTTTCAGGGCGGGGCACCACGTATAAAATGTAAAGGTCATAATTATATCTGATAGTGATTGCGAGTTCTTATATAGAAGCGCAAGAAAATGCATCTGGTGAGTACTTTCAAACTATTTTTTCCTTTTAACTTAACCCATACCGTGACCTTTGAAACCAAGAGTTCAACAGGTATTCTATATTTAATCATTGGGAGTGTGCTGTGTGGTAATATGATCTGAATTACTTATAGCCAGCATCATACAGGATGGACAAAAACGTTTTACTCTATCCACTATACTATATCGAAGCCATCAAATGAACCATATGAAATTTCAAATGGTAGACATTACAATTAAACAATCAATAATAAACAAACGAAAAGGTAAAAATTCTTCAAAGATTTCCATTGAAAATAAATTGAAGCTATTTTCGCTTTCACACCGGAAGTTCAAATTTTTGTAATAAATAAACATAACACATAACACTAGTCAACACAAAATTTGACTTTGACATTAAAGTATGAAATTTCTGTAAACTAGATCATAGGTGTACGAAAAAATGATACGTCACGACAAAGTTTGCTTTGCTTTGCAATTTTTGACAATTTGCAATTTTGAATTTTATTTTATAATGAAACAATATGAATATAGGTATACATTATTTTCATTAATTTCTATCCTCGAATTAGTCTACTTTTTCTTTTATGTTCGTAAGTACTTTCTCTCAATAAACCCGGAGTATACAGTCTCCTATCATATTTTCATTGTATTGGCTCTGATAACGTTGTTCTAAGTTCATGATATCTTGTTGAAAACATTATCCCCATATTATTTTGAATTCATCTAAATGTGCATGCAGCATAGGTACTTTTAAAGACATCCTGCAATCCATGGCTTCAAAAATTTGTAACATTTTCTAGTTGTTTGTAGTCTTCAGCTCTATTATTTTCTTAAAATCCAGATACTTCTGCTACAAATCTATTCCAACTCGCATTTTCAACCCTTTTAGGCAATCTTGGAAATTTTCATCAGCAAGAATTTGATTTGTGGACCAACGGAAATTTCAGCTCCTCACAGTTTCGGAAGAATTTACTTGAATATCCAAAATTTCCTTAATTTTTCATCCAATTTTATTTACAAATTTTTTTACAAGCCCTAACTTGTTTCTAACACTTTTTCTGCATCAACTATCGACTCAAATTTTACATTTTATTTCCCGGCACAAAGTTCTGTTTTAATAAACCATGATCGTCTAGTATAATGCTGAGAATTTGCTTTGCTGTCCCATAAACAAAGATAACAGGGATATTTTGTATGTCCACTCTATAGTCCTATTAAAAAATCCTACCATTTCGAAACATCCAATCAGCTGCCACCTATATTCGTGATACTTTACATATTGTAGTAAGATTTCAACACTTTTATAGTTTCCATTTAGATTTACTGAGTGAGCGAGTGGAAAAGAACACAGGGTATCCCAATTTCTTCGAATATACTTTTCATGTGTTCACAAAAATAGATACCATCTTCTTTTGTAAAAAATTATGAAAATGTTTCATGCTGAGTTCGCTGTTCTGTGATAGTCACATCATCAAGTGAATTCCATCGTTTTAAATATGAACCCAAAAGATCTGCTTTACTATTCATCAAATTAGATCTCTTTCTTGTTTGATTAATGGACTATTTATTTTGTAGAAATTCGTATCGAATGAAAGATAAAAAAGACAGCTTGAATATTACTGGAAATCTTTCTCAACATCAGACTGTTATTTTAATACCCCGTCAGGTGTTTCAATCACCTGACTATTACAAAAGGAAACATTGTAAAATTAATTTAAGACAAGTAGATGAGTCAATTTTGTGGAATTGATTTAAGACACTTAAGACACAGGTACCTAGAAGAGGTATGGTATAAATAAGGATAACTTTGAAAGTATGATTATTTCGATCCTCCTCTTGAAGATGATCACTTGGTGATCGAAACACGTGTTAAGGTGTTGAAATAAGGGTTTGGGAAAAACTCCGGTAATAAAATAGCTTTTGTCTAATTTTTACTAAAATTTTAGACCATTTTCAAGTAACTAAAGTATTTTTCACAAACAAATTCCCAAATATACAATGAAATAGTATTTACTTAGTATGTACTTTTGGTACCTGCAATAGGTGTCTGAACTAACAAAAGGTTACCTAAATCATTAATACCAATACCAAAACAATAATTGTTCAAAAAATTACCAACTATTGATCCCAAAAACTATATTTGTCGATTAGTACAACTAACCTAGTTGTCAAAATTCATAAACTTGGAAGGGGAGAGGTGCAGAAAGGGTTTTCATCCCATTTATTTATTTCCAAAGCTTCCAATGGATGAATTTGTTGAAAGCATTGGAAATCAATAAATTGTAGCTCTCCCCTTTCGAATTTATGAATTTTGACAATCAGATCAACATCCATTGGTAGTTGTAGCACTCTAGAAGTATGGTATTTGGGATCGATAGAGTCGGTAATTTTCCAAATAATTATTGTTTGGGTGTTGGTATTGATGATAAAAGTAACATTTTGTTATTTCAGGTGCCTATTAGGTACTTGCAAATGAATATTACTGGAGTTTTTTCCCAACATCAAATCGTTATTTGATCACCTCGACACGTGTTGAGGTGTTAAAATAACGGTTTCGTGTCCAGTAATATTCATTACTACACCAAAGGTTCCAAACAGTGCATCATAATTATTTGCAAATGGTCTGAAAAACCGAAACCGGTCGTAACAAATAAAAATCGTAGTTGGAATCAGACAAAAACTATTTTCTTTATCCTATATTTACTCTTATTGAGTCCTTGAAATCTTCTGTAGTGATAAGATGGTGTTGTGATTGTTCTGGCGTAGGTAAAAAATCCTTATTTGAAACACATTTTTTGAAACTGATAATGAGTTTTGACTCCCATAGTTTCATCGGAGGTTCAGCTACTATCAAACTATGTAGAATTGGAGTAGGAGAAGAATCAAGAGCAAAAATTCAATTGGTTTAGTATTCTGGCCACTACCTCTTTCACGTGGATCGACAATGCAAAAGTAGCAGTTATTAGCGTGGTTTTTTGGTCCTTGTCAGATTCTCGGTACTCCAAACTTCATAGACCTTCTCTCATCTCCATATCAACCTAAAATGAAGAGAAATGAATATTATTGAGTTAATTACATTATGCCTCCACTTGCTCACCCCCAAATTTCTTTTACATGTACTACAAGCGATATTCGTAGCCCATGGCTTGTCTTGGTTCCGAACAGGAAAGCTAAAATATGTTTCCTAAGCTTCACTACATGTTTCCAATACTAATTTTACATCTAGCAGCATGAAAATTGACCACATATTTATAACAACATGCATCAGCATCTCGACGATATTTCAACTTTTTCTAGACTTGAACAAAACACCTGAATGTTATTTATCATTCGAATGCCATCTGATGGCACTGTGTGAATATTGAAATAACACTTTTATCATTGTCATCAAACTTTAGGACAAGGAACGAAATTTTTTGTAGAGCCGTGTAATCAGGGTTATGAAAGTTAGGTTATGTAATATCAATATACTCAATCTATTGAACACATTATTCGTTTACATTTACTGAAGTGAAAAAAACTTTCATAATACATCTTGCTCAACCCTTCTCTTATTTCAATCAATTCAAAACAAGTTGACAATATACGCGTCTCTTATAATTACTGGCACAATTTTTTATTCTTATTCAATCTAATTCTTCGAAAGCTAGCCGCAAGGGCCAAAAGAATCTGAACTGTGAATAATTGCCACATTATTTCTCCTATACAATGTTTTTCTTCGGGAATTAAATGAGTTTCCCTCTTATGAATATCGAAAGAACTAAAAATATACTCATTCTATAACGTTTTGATTCATTTCACTGTTTTCATTATTCTGTCATGCTCTATTTCAGGTGTCCACACCTGTTTCTTCGACTATTACTGGTTATTGTTTCACCAGCGAGTAGGCGACCTTGCCAAGGAAAAATTTAACCATTTCGCCAATTAAATTAGTCTCGTATCGAGTTCTGAGTGCTGCTTTCATTCCACTTGAAGCGGAGTTAAATGTCATTGAAAATTGAACATTCTGAACGATATTTTGCTCTGAATAACATTCGAAAATTACTTATTTGAATATTATTCCCACAGGGTGTATTCAAACAGCAGTTTCAAGGACGATGATAATATTGAAATACGGGGCGGCTACATTTTCGATTATATGAATTGATATTTCGCCAATTATTGATTATACAGACTTGGTTGACAGGTAAAAAACCAATGACTGATTAGGCAATATAAAGAAACTCCAAATACTTCATAGAGTTTTTAGCAAATGAGAAGAAAATTGAACGTCGCCATTTCATTTTTTCGTTACATGTACCATATTTTTTCCAGCCCCTTTCTTAGTTTTTATTGAAACTGGAAAACTATGGAATAACATTTCCAAGATGACGTTTCGTGTTTTGAGGTTCCTATCAAAACCATTTTCTGAATATTTTTCATCTTGTTCAATATATCAATATCTTGAGAACATGGAGGTATATCATAAAGTTCAATAGACCACTTGCATGCCCATTTTATTGGCGACAAATAACCATTTATACGTGATTATCGCGTTTGCAAAATGTTTTTCAAAAATTTAACAATTTTGGAAAGTAATAGAAACGATATAAAATCAAACAGATAAAAAAGATGCCGTAAAATATTTGTGACTAAGCGTCCTTACCAAAACTGAATGAAATTTTAGATTCTGTAATCACATTTTAGTTTGACCTCATTAGATATTCAATAAAATTGAAGTTATTCACTTCGCTGTTTCTCTGAAGAGATTCTTTAGAGAAACAATGGTTTAGAAATTTAATAATGATATTGTAATAAATGACTCCATTAATAGCTACAAATGAAATGATTAGGTGTCACTTTTCAGCGTTTCTCATGTTGACCGAGATATAGTGCCAAAGCAAAAGCTCCACCTTATCTACCAATTTTTTGTTTATAAAAGTGTCACATGAGTTTAATAAACAAAATACTTTGTTGAAGTAACATAAAAAGATTCCGAAGTGTCATCGATAAAGACC